TTTTGCAGGATGCCGGTGTAGACAGACCCTCCGACATGAGGGGAAAGTTGGTGCTTTGAGGATTGAGCTCCACCCCTGCACTGGGGTAACAACTCAGGGCAACATATCCACAGTCGTATCGGCGGATGCAGGTACCCGTGGATATAAAGCAGATAGCCACGGATCTGCAGGGCTCTGCTCACTGGGATTTTCCTGCCTGATCCCAGATCTGCAACCTTTTCCATCTCCAGCCCTCTGGAGAATATTCAGGATTGGAGAAATCAAACTGGGATCCCTGCGCACAGGGAGCCCAGGCCGCTGTGGGCAGTGACTCATGGGTTACGTCTACACTGTGCGGTGTGCACGGTTCAGCGGGGGACTCAAGCAGTCCTCTGCTAGCCCGTGCTCCCCGTGGCATCACAAAGCAGCAGCACCACATGGAGCCCAGGGTCAGCTGGGGACACCACTTATTGGACAGTCGACTAGTCCTTCACATCCCTACTGGAAATGAGACCATGTGGGGCCACAGCGGAGGGAAGGGGGTGGCGGAATCGGGTCACAGCGTCTCAGGGGCAGTTTACACCAGGAGACCTTGTGGACGGTCCCAGGGATGCGGGCTAATGATGGCCACAGAGAGACCCTCCAAGGCTGACTCTGTGGATGCAGAGGTGGGATCGCTCCTTCCAAAGGTCCGGTAGGAATCAGAACTTCTCAGTGGTGCTTTCTGAAGGCAGAGGGGGCAGGCAGAAGGCAGAGAAACTCAGACTCATAGACTATCAGGTCAGAAGGGACCATTATGATCATCTAGTCTGACCCCCGGCACGATGCAGGCCACAGAATCTCACCCACCCATTCCTGGAATAATCCTCTCACCTATATCTCAGATATTGAAGTCCTCAAATGATGGTTTGAAGACCCCAGGATGCAGAGAATCCTCCCGCAAGTGATCCGTGCCCCATGCCACAGAGGAAGGTGAAAAACCTCCAGGGCCTCAGCCAATCTACCCTGGAGGACCCCAAATATGGCGATTAGCTGAATCCTGAGCATGTAGGCAAGACTCACCAGCCAGACATCCAGGAAAAAGTTTTCTCTAGAGAGGCAGCATCCTCCCCCTGCCCCCATACACTCCCTCTTCTCTTATCTCCTTTTCCCATCAAACACGATCCCTTAGCCCCAGCACCCAGCTCACTCTGCTTCCTCGTTCCAGCAGCCCCTGCCCAAACGTCCTTCTGCCAATCTCCATGAAAGGGGCATCATGTCTGCGAAGGGAAGGGAGGGGCTGGAGGAATTTCTCTGCATCCCTCCTCCACCTGTAGCCCAGTTGCCGGGGCTGCAGTAGGGAGGAAGGGCTGCCTGGGGATTGCTTAGACCAGTGATTCCCAAACTTTTCAAGTGTATGGACCTCTTTTCAATCTATTAAAATTTCATGAACCTCCTCCCCCCCACGCACCCTCAACCACGGGGGAGAAAAAAAAAAGAAAAGGAAAAGGAAAAGAAAAGACACTACAGTGAGCCCTATCCTTATTTTTAAACTTTTCACGGACCCCCTGGAGTACCGTCCAATATGGGCTTTGTGCTGCTTGGGGCATTTTCCACCCTAGTGACATCTCAGAGGTTTCTTCTCGGAGCAGATTGGCTGATACTTGAGCACCAATGGAGGCTTCCTCCACTGTCAAGGGATTTCTAGGGTCTCACTTTGGTGGATTCTCTGATGTTTAGTAAGATCTCGGCTCTTAAAGAAGCATTTCTCACAGTCAAGACATTTATGGGGGGGCTCTCTCTGGCTCCCCTAGTGTGGATTCTCTGATGTCTAATAAGGTTTGGTCTCAGTGAAACTTTCCCCACAGCGGAGGGAAGTATGAGGTTTGTCTCCGCTATGAGTTCTCTGATGCCTAACAAGGTGCGAGCTCTGAACGAAACTTTTCCCACAGTCGTGGCATTGATAGCGTCTCTCCTCCATGTGGGTCCCCCAATGTCTAGTGAGGTATGAGCTGCGGCTGAAGCTTTTCCCACAGTCCAAGCACTTATGGGGTCTCTCTCCAGTGTGGGTTGTCTGGTGTGCCACAAGGCTTGATTTCTGAATGAAACATTTCCCACAGTCCAGGCACTTGTAGGGCCTCTCTCCCGTGTGAATTCGCCGATGTTTAGTGAGGTTTGATTTGTGACTGAAGCCTTTCCCACAGTCCAGGCACACGTAGGGTCTCTCTGCTCGGTGGATTCTCTGATGCACAATAAGGCCTGAGTAGTGGGCAAAGTTTTTCCCGCAGTCCAAGCATTTGTGCGACTTCTCTCCTGTGTGCATTGTCTGATGGGAAAGGAGGTTTGTTCTCTGAATGAAACTTTTCCCACACTCCAGGCACTTATGAGGTCTGTCTCCTGTGTGGATGCGTTGATGTATAACAAGGGCTGATCTCTGTGTGAAACTTTTCCCACACTCCAAGCACGGATGGGGTCGCTCGCCTAAGTGGATTCTCTGGTGTCTAATAAGGTTTGGTCTCTCAATGAAACTTTTCCCATAATGGAGGCATGCATGAAGTTTATCTCCCATATGAATTCTCTGATGTCTAATAAGGTGCGAGCTCCGAATGAAACTTTTCCCACACTCAAGGCATTTATAGGGTCTCTCCTCCGTATGGGTCCCCCAATGTCTAGTGAGGTATGCGCTGTGGCCGAAGCTTTTCCCACAATCCAAACACTTATGGGTTCTCTCTCCGGTGTGGGTTGACTGGTGTGTCACAAGGGCTGACTTTTGAACAAAACTTTTCCCACAGTCCAGGCACCGATAAGGTCTTTCTCCCGTGTGGATTTGCCGATGTTTAGAGAGGTTTGAGCTGTTACTGAAGCCTTCCCCGCAGTCCAGGCACACGTAGGGTCTCTCTCCTGTGTGGGTCCTCCAATATGTAGCGAGGTCTGAGCTGTGGCTAAAGCTCTTCCCACACTCAGAGCATGTAAAGGGTTTCTCTGTTGTGTGGATTTTCTGGTGCATAATAAGGGTTGTATTCCGACTGACAGAATCCTCAGAGGAAAGACCTTTAGAAGAGCTCTCTCCCGTGTGGATTCTCCCATGTTTAGCAAGGTCTGAGCTGTTACTGAAGCTTTTCCCACAGTCCAGGCATTTCTGGGGTTCCTGTCCCACACAAAGGGCCTGATGTGTACCGAGGTGTGATCTCCGAATTAACTTTTCCCCACATTTGACACACTGATTGGGCTGCTCTTTCTTGTGGTTTGTCTGCTGGACTGTTGATTCCTCAGGATCCTTGCCTCCTCCCCCATAGTTAATAGAGTCAGACAATTTCTTCTTGGGGTGGTTTCCAGCCAGCCTCTCTGACTTGCCCTGATTTCCACAGGCTTTTCCTTGTTCCAAGCACTGGGAAAAATTCCCTTCAAAGGCCAACTTTGGTTCCACTTTCCCAGGAACTTCCAGAGTTTGAGTCTCCTCCTTACTCTCACTCGTTCTCTTGTCACCTGCAGGGAGACAGAGTCAATCCAGGCAAGTGTCATTGCGCCTGTGCCTGGGAGAAAGAGTAAGAGTGCAAAGGAAAAATCCAACACAATAAAGTTTCAAAGACTGAGCATCTGTATTCTGCCTCCAGATCCTATAACCAGTAGGAAGGAAAACAGGGAAGGAAACTCCTGGGATGGGTGGAAAGTGCGTGTGACATCTGCTGCCCAATAGTCCTGATCTGGGTGAAATAAGAGTTCTCACCTGGGCAGGTGCCTCTCAGAATCTTCCTTTCCTCACAGGCCTGCAGATCAGGCACCCACGGCTCTTCCCCTTGTTCCAGCTGGGAGATCAGGTCAGGTTTGGGAATGGGCGGCCCTGCTCAGGAAGGGAAGTGAGAGAAGTGCTGGGTGCAGGGAAGAATGTGAAATACTTTTTGTCACAAAGGACATTCCGTGAACTGAACCTGTGCCCAGATGGTGCAAGGGGAACATGGACTCCTAGAACCCAGGAACATGGCCACTGAGCCCCCTTGGGAGAGGCAGTGTCCGGGGAGAGAAGGGGAACTGTCACTCTGGGGGCTTTGCTGACACACAGAGCTCTGGAGCTAGTCCCAAAAAGGGAGATGAAGAGTGATGCTGTTTGTGCCTGAGAAACAACACAGACAGGGCAACACACAGCTTCAGACCCCTTGAAAGCTGCGTGGAGGGGGTGAGTTAGAATATCCAATTGGTTTTGACAGCTGTGCTCTACAGAAGGACGTAGCTGTAAGTCATTCTCACACAGCAGCTGTGATGTATAGGACTTGTTCCTCTCTGTAAGAACATAAGACAGGCCATACTGGGTCAGACCAAAGCTCCATCTAGCCCAGTATCCTGTCTGCTGACAGTGGCCTATGCCAGATGCCCCAGAGGGAGGGAACACAACAGGGAATCCTCACGTGATCTCTCCCCTGTCACCCATTTCCAGAAAAACAGAGGCTAGAGACACCATTCCTACCCATCCTGGCTAATAGCCATTAATGGACCTAACCTCCATGAATCTATCTAGTTCTTTTTGCCCTCTATATAGTCCTTACCTGAGCGGGCTTCACCTCCGCCATTTCCCGGCGGGAGGGCGATCTGCAAGGGAAGCGACGTTAATATTCAACCGGGCAGTGAGAGAAGGGGAACTGGGGGGCGGGGAGGGGACTGGTTCACTTCACTCCCAGATTAGCCCCTGGTTTTTCCTTTGCAGACGGATGTTCCCTCCAGGTCTAAACCCCCTAGACAACTTTAAAGCCTCCCAGGAAGAGGCACTAAAGCAAATGCCAGATGAAGAGAGCCGCTCCCGGGGACCCCCCAACACTGTCCCGAAGGCAGCACGTCCCCCTAACGCGTATCTCTCTCTGCACCTCCCCTGGGTCCCAGGGACTCCTCAGGTGACCAGTGAGTTCCTGACCCACCTTCCCCAGAGTGGGACCTCACTAAAGGGCCACAGATGACGACGACAGGGAGACTGGCTGCTGTGAGAACCACTACAGGCCAGTGTCTGAGTGGGGGTGGGGAGGCACTCATTGACTTGGGGGGGAGTGGAGTTTTAAGCAGCTAGAGGCAGGGTTAGGATAAGGGCTGGGGGCAAAATCAGGGAAGGAGGGTTCTAGGAGCAGGGGTTAAGCTCAGGAGTGCAGGCAGACAGAAGTGGGTAACAATTGCTATCTGTGTTTGCAAAAATAGAGGGAGGGAGCAGAGGGACTTTTAATTCCCCCCTCTCAATGGACAGTGAGGCTGTGTCTACACTGGTGCGATCTTGCACAAAAACATGCTGCCTGTCTACACAGGCCGCGTTTCCTTGTGCAAGTAAACTGACGTTCTAACGTATGAAATCAGGGCTTCTTAAGACAGAACTCTGACGCTCCCGCTCAGGAATAAGCCCTTTTGCACAACTGTTCCTGCGCAAGAGGCCAGTGTAGACAGGCAACATGAATTCCTTGCGCAAGAAACCCCTATGGTTAAAATGGCCATCAGAGCTTTCTTGCGCAAGAGAGCGTCTACACTGGCACAGATGCTCTTGTACAAAAGCACATCTCTTGTGCAAAAGCACGTGGCAGTGTGGACACGCTCTTCTGGAAGACCTTTTGCACAAAACAGTTCTTGCGCAAGAAGCCTGCAGTGTAGACGTAGCCCTAGAGACTCTGGAACAAAGAAGACACATGAGAAGAACCCAACTATTTTTCTTTTGCTGTGACATGGATGGAGCTAGCTCATGTTTTGATCAGGGGTCCTTCTGCCTGTGAAACACCTGGGACAACCCCTGTGCTCCTGGGTTCCTTTACCTGTCACCTGCAATGCCATCCACTTGGGGGAGCATGTGCCCTGACACTTGTAGAAGGGCCAACCTGGACAAAGCAGCACCTTTTAGGCCCCCTTTGCTAGCTCTTCCCACCATCTCTCCATGTGTAGTTGGAGTTGGCTTCCTTCAGTCGAGTTTGACGGTGTCCCAACAGCAGGAAGCCAAAGGAAGCATAGAGCAGAAGTACTGGAAGCTGGTGGGAGCAGCTTCTGGTTTTGATTGAGTCTTCGTTGGACTTGCTAAATTAAACTCCATAAGATTGATTGTGGCCATTCCTATCCAGCTGGACGTGGTTCTTGTTCTTCTGCATGGCACAGCCCATGGAGACCAAGGACTTGCCTGTGGGCATCCAGATCACACCCTTGTTGAAATGATGGGAATAGAAACCAGATACACGGGTTTGAACTGGTTTCAGCTGAGGGACAGGTTTGTCTGGTTTATGTGCATTGGCACAGGAAAGCATTATGGCTCTGTAGTCATTTTAAGAATTGCTGTACAACAGAAATCCAAAATGTGACACACCTGGATATGCAATTGTTTTATTTAAGATGATCAGCTTTTTAAGGAGGTATTTGCAGTTTGGCATCAACCACTGTCGGGGGGGAGGGGGGAAAGGGGAGTGTCGGAGTCTTGGACCTGGGGTAAGCTTGAACTAAGCCAGGCTGCCTGCCCACTACCTCCTAATACACTTTAAATGCAGAGCCGCAGCAGGGCTAGGTCCTGGATCTGTCACAAGCCAGGCTGCTGACCAGCCTGCTAAAAAATGTATTGGGGGTGGGGGAGAATGTGTGTGGCCCATAGCATTCGCTGATGAGCTTTTGCTTATGGGTTAATTGGTTAATCGACTACACTGGCACATCGCTACAATGCACCAGGCGGGGTTGTCTGGAAAGGAAGGATTTTTGCTCCTGTCCCATATCACAGCCAAGTGTTTTCTGCTTGGGTGGGTAGAAAAACTAGTTAGATGACCAAAGGAGGCCCCCAGGGTTGTACAGTGGGAGAGGGAGCAACTGGCACCAGAGGTGCCTCCCCGTTCTCTGCCCTGGAGCACAGGGCAGGCAAGGCGCAGTTAGCACATTAGAAGCATCCAGCGAGCAAGGCAGCGGTCACGGCTCCGGGGCACAACTTGCCAGCCCGGGCCGCCAGGGGAATGGGGAAGCAGGTGCGGGGACGAGCAGGATAGGATCAGGCTCCCATGAGGGCAGGCTTGGGAAAGGCGCAAATAAAGGCCGGTGTATAGGCAAAAAGTGAAACCGCTCCGTTTTTGTGACGGTCACAGTTTCTGTCAAACAAACATGATATTCGGTATAACTGCTCAGGAATTGCTACCTTTGCTGGCTGGTTGCAAATTCAGAGGAACTGTGTTTTTTGGTAGAAAAATCTCTCAATTTGCTACCTCCTAACGGACTCAGGGGATGCTGGTGTTTTGCCTTGGGCGGGGGCCTTTTGCTCCTGGTCCATGGGTCACAAATTCAGAGGAACTGTGTTTTTTGGTAGAAAAATCTCTCAATTTGCTACCTCCTGTCTAA